AGTCGCCTTTTATTTATTTGCTGGGGTTACCAAAATTCAAGACTTTTGTTAATAATTAAATAAAAGTTAAGTTGATCCATAAACATCAGAATTTGATCATTTTCAATTCCGGTTCTCTTTACAAAATGATTTGCTGATATATGCCGAAAAGACAAGAAAGGAAGTTTACAAAATTAAAATAAAATATATATATTGTATTTTGTATATTGTATTTTGTAAATTAAAACCATGAAAAGGATTATTTGTAGAGCATAACTTTATAATTTTTTGTATTTTTTCATTGTTCTTATATGTTGTAAACTTGTACCCATATACCTATCCCCTTTTATCTTGGGGGAAGGGGGGTATCAGCAAAATAAACTATATGTAAACTGTTTGCGCAATACAATATAATTTATAGACGAATTATGGGTATACAGTGAAACCCTTTATAACGAATACAATGAAAGAATTTATCAAATGTCGTATTCTTCACTTTCTGATAATGGAATGTTGCAGATATTTTGTTTTTTTTAATTATATGATTATATGGAACTCTTTAAAACTGTTACAGCATATTAATGGCTATTTAATTATTTTCGCAAATACTGAAATTTACGTAATATAGTATAAAACTCATTGAAAAATTCTCAAGACGACATTTGATAAATTCTTCCGATGTATTCGTTATTAAGGGTTTCACTGTAATTGTATACCATTTAAGCCTTATATAAACATACAGAGACATGGACTAGACCGGAGATTTATGGGTTAAAGGATTCCTGGTGAAAACCTGAGGATGTGTAGGCGTAGACAACAGAGTATCAATGTATACAGAACCAGTATATGTAAAACTCACAGAGAAACATAGAGCAGAGAGTATGAAGGTTTATAGAACCAGAGTAGGTATGTATTTGATATAGAACCAGTGTAAGCATAGATAGATAGTGCTTTCGACGAAAATGTTAATGACATGAAAATAGTTAGAATCGATTCACCATGCGAATTTACCCCTATTTCGGTACCAATGACGGTATGAGTTCTCCATTGACATAATATGACCTCCAAAATGACCACTTGGAGGTCAAAATGGGCAGTTGTGACCTCGGGAGTCAAATTTTCGAACAAAAAAGATTAAAATGGATTTACCATGCATGGGCGTTTATCCCTGTTTAGACACCCGTGACGATATTTTTGTGCTATTAATATAAGTTGACCTCCTAAAATGACCCCTTAGAAATCAAATTGGCGGATAATGACCTCCGTGGTAAATTTTTTCAAAAACCAATATCATTTTTGAAACATGCATATGGTTTTACCTATAAAACGATACCTTGGACGGCTTGTGCTCTCTAAGACATAAGTTTAAATTTGACAATGTGTTCTTTTATGCGTGAACAGTCCCTATGGAAAGCCCCATAAAAAAACTTACATCATTTTTGGCCTATCTAACTCCTAATACCTTGAATCTATCAAAAAAATGGACTAATAGCAAATAAAAGCGTGAACATCATTGATAAGGTAAAAATATTCTTAATTAAAGTGATGATTTTTTCCAAGCTTTTTTTGTAATTTCAGATTCACAAAAAATGTTTCATTTTTGCACCCTGGTGGGTTAGATAAAAAAATTTGATTGAAATAGCGAGCTGTGGATTGTATAAACTGATTTCAAAAAGAAAATTTAAAAAAAATTATTTTTGTGGTCTGAGCAAGGTTCGTACGGAGGTAACCGTAGCTCTCTTTTCTTTTTTTCTTTTTAATGCATATTTTATTTTTAGATTGCTCTAGCTCCAAAAGTAATAATCCTGAAATGAAACCTAAGACTAACAGCTTATGGTTTAAAAAAAAATTTCGAAAATCTTTAAATTTTTCCATACTTTGTGAACTAATGAAAATGAAACGTGAAAAATCGAAAAATTGAAAAATTGAAAAATCCAGGAAATCGATTTTTCGACTTACTTTCAAATAATTGATTGTAACAAAAAAGTATGAGGCCTAGAAGGAAAAATTTTACATCATGAAATAACTGAAATATAGAGCTTTCGAATGACACCTTGATCGTAAAAATTGAACGAAAATTGTTTCCTCAGTTACTAATACCCCTACTGAACAGTTTTTTTGAGACACCCTGTAGATGTCTCTATATGACTATTATCCTTCCCTCCGTTTCTCTCAACTCTGTAGGTCAGTTTACATATCACCATGTTCTATTATTCAAGATGTCTCTATATGACTATTATCCTTCCCTCCGTTTCTCTCAACCCTGTAGGTCAGTTTACATATCACCATGTTCTATAACTCAAGATGTCTCTATATGACTAGTATCCGTCCCTCCGTTTCTCTCAACCCTGTAGGTCAATTTACATATCACCATGTTCTATTATTCAAGATGTCTCTATATGAACATTATCCCAGCCAGTCCCTCCCCTCAATCAGTCAACCATTGTTACGTATTGATAAATTTATCTGTATAGAGTAGTATATTTAAATATGGAATATACGGACAACCCATATTTGAATAATATTTCATACAGAGAATATATATGACACAGTGAAACCCTTAAAACTGTGTAATTGGAAGACGACTTTTAGACTCAAGTTTAAATAGTTCAATGAACGAGAATCTGAGAAAAACAGGAATTGTGCAGAACCTCTTTTGTTGATTTTTAAACAATTTGCTTTATATCAACATCAAATAAGCATTTCTTGAATGTTGTTTCTATATCTAGCATTATTGGAAATATAAGCATTTTGTAGACGGTGGTAGGGGATTATTGCAATATAATGAAGACTACTTGTGTATTTAAGGTTTAACAAGATTTTTTCGAATTACAAGTTTACATGTAATTAAAGAGAAGCTTTTTAATTAACAGCTTATCTCTGTTTCGATGTTTTTGTGTATCCATGCTGTTTAAAAGCTTGATATAAATCAAAATTAAAATCGAAAGTCGTCTGCATTATATTGATAAAATTGCCTACCACCGCAGATAAAAACAGGGCGTCTGGTCCCAGAATCGCTTTAGAATAAAAAACTCTAGAAGTGAACTGTTATTAAAATTTGATTTAGCATAAAACAGAAAGCTTGTCTTCAATTTTTTGAAATTTTTGGCCTTTGTCGCATTCACCCGATAGATTGTCGTATACGTTGAATGTTGATTGGTGATAACTATTAAGATATAACATGCTTTACTTCTATCGATCTAAACAATTGAAACCAGAAAACAGTAGAATAGAAAGACGACATTAAAGCAATATTAAATGTATTTGATGTTGTTACAAAGCAAATAGTTTTACCGTCCATTCCGGACATTCCGAAATATGGTCTGCCTTTGCTGTGTTGTCATTATTACCACTATTTAATATTATGTTCAGATTTTACTTCAAATAAAACCAAAATTAAGTCGAAATCTGGACAAAAATTCTTCATATCTCCGCTAATAATATTGAAAGCACAAAAAAGGCAGACCGAATTATGGAAAGACTAGAAGTATTATGCGATTATTAACTCTAGAATTTTAGTTCTAAAATAAGGTTTAAAACTAAATGTTACAGATGTTTTCAAAGAGTCGAAGACGACGTTTAATTCGTTTTACTACTGTCATGTTTCATATGGGACACCCTGTATAGTTAGTGGCATCTAAAATATCCATTTATCACGGTTTTATATTATGGTTTATACTGATTGAAATAAGGTAAAATTATTAAAAAATCATAGTTTCTAAAATGTTAAAAAATTCATGCAACGCGCCTTATTCCTTTATTACACATCAAAAACCATCAGACCCTCCTCACAATATCTTTCAGATGTGCTTCAAAACTTCAGCGTCTTCACGTCATTTGTAAATTCATCAAATTGAGTGTGACAGACCAACGTACAGGGTGTCCCACGAAACATGACAATATAGAAAGACGACTTGAAAGTCGTCTTTGATATTTGAATTTATTTGTGACATTTAGTCTTCTATCTACTTTAACATGCATGATTCTGAAAACAATTATCACATAATTCTCCTAGCCCTGGCATTTCCAAAAAGTGGTTTGCGTTTTTAATATTACCGGAGATATATAGTTTGGTTCAGATTTCAATTTTGTTAAATAAAAGCAATATTGTCGAAATCTGAACGAAATTGTTCATATCTCGGGCAATATTGAAAGCACAAAAAATGCAGACCACGTTTTGGAAATGGCAGGACTAGGGGAATTTTGTGATTATTATCTCTAGCAATTTACTTCTAAAATTAGGTTGACAAATAAACGCAGCAAATTATATCAAAAATAAAGACGATTTTCAAGTCGTCTTGCATACTGTCATGTTTCGTGGGACACCCTGTATCTGTTATCAAAAATATTGATAAGAAGCGAAATGATTGTCGTCTTTTGCGTTGTTTCAAGTATAGTTCCGCTGAATGTATATTGGGATTTTGTCCAGGGTGTCCTTACAAAAATGCCCATGACATTTGAAATATAAAATATAGCATTGTAAAAGATCACAAAGTAATTTGGTTAAAATATTTGAGCTTTTTGAGTAAAAAGTTTGAAAATATAGGACCAGTCGTGGCTATTCCCCTCTATTCTTAACTCTATCTTTAAAGTTAAAATTTGATTTCCAACTCTGTACATATTTTTTGGAACACCCTGTATAAGCACCTTTACGAATGCGCATCATTCGAATTCTAACCTTTGTTGAGATGATAGTTAGCTATAATGACTGAAAGTCAAATATGCATTAAATTCAGTTTTTTTTCAAGCGTAACCACGACATATAAACTTTACAAAATAAAAAATTCTTCAGTAATCAACGAAAAATGTTGTTAATGATGGACGATCCTTGATTTTCTTGTTGAATTGAGTATAAACAAATGCATCTCGAACCAGTGAATTCCGTTCATTTATAAGTTTTATGATATTTCAAAATTGGCGTTAAGGTTAAAATACTAGTTTTCTTGCTACTTTGCTAAACAAGTGCCCCATAATTTCACCCTTAATATAAAAACATTATCTTTTACCTAAGCCGAATTGTATCAATTTTTGATAAAGGTTTATTAAAGTCGCCGGATCGGCACGAATCAAATACGCATATATGAAAAGACTAACAATATAAATAAAACAAAAATCATAAAAAAAAACGTTCACGCATAATTTAGATAATATTTTTAAATTGTTTTCAATCCAATTGATTTCTCTTCAGATTGTAATTTATAATTTTCCATAAAAAAAAATTCAAGATGTCTGATTATTTTAAAAAGTTTGGCCGACGCTGAAAGTCTAATATAGAAATACAAAAGTAGTTGCACATAAGTTTTAAACTAAATTTACTGGTTTCTACGGTATAATGTGGATTTTAAATGATATTCCTTTAAGGGACTGTAAACGTAAACGTCAAGGTTGACGAGATAACTCCTTACTTTTCAAACAGAAAATTGAATGCCTGTAATCGCGAGTGTACTGTACACTGACACTCCTTTTTCCGCAAGAAAAATAGGGAAATATCCGCGAGCGATGATAAATGATTCTTGAAATCACGTGTTCACTGTACAGTGTACAATCCCTTTAAATGAAAAATCGTTAAATATTTGGCAAACATTAATGTTACATGGGAGAATAGAATAAGGAGATCCGTCATTTTAATTCCACTCTTCATCTTCACCTTCCTCATCCTTCTTTTCTTTATGATCATCTTCATTTCTTGGGGTTTCTTGATCCTCCCAACCTTCTTGATCTTCCACATTCAAATCCGTTTCCTCGTTTAACTCATTTTCAGGATCTTCTTGACATCTTGGGGTTTCCTGATCCTCCTCATGTTCCTGAACCTCAATTTCTTGATCCTCCTCATGTTCCTGATCCTCAATTTCTTGATCCTCCGCATGTTCCTGATCCCATTGTTCACATTGATTCTCCTGATTCCACTCATCATCAACATGATCTACATCTTCAACTTGATCTTCCTGATCAACCTCTTCTTGATGCTCTTGATCCTCCGGTAGCTCTTCAACCCTGTCCTCATTAGATGTGACCCAGAGAGTCATGGTGTTGTCGTAGCCATCGTTCAGACTTATCTTCTCAGTTGCCTGGCTCCCCTCATTCTCCTCCTGGTCGAACTCCTCGTAATCCGTCTCCTCCGGGTTAACAGGGATGAGCTCCGTGTCCGTGTACTCACTTCGTAAGCTCTGAGGTCCTGATTCCATCATATCCATGGACAGCAGAGAATCTAAATATCAGACAATTTAAAAAATTTTTACAAATTGTTTACAAGGATTTAACTAGTAAGAGCCATTAAACCCTTTAAAGGGATTGTTTACCAGTATTAAACAAAGCTTATTTTACCGATCAAAGATGTGTTTAACACTTCTCATTTGAACAATAAGATCTGTTTTACAAAAGTTTGCTAACATTACTTCCCATTTGCAATAAAAGCTTTTGGAGTTTCTTATTCCTTGAGCAAGAAAGATCAATAAGCAAAACTTCGTTTATATATTTTCAAATAAACGAACAGTCCCTTTAATCCATGAAATCTTGTTCTAAATAAAAAAAATCTGTAATATAACTACCTGCATCCATACTTTGGAAGAGTAGTTGATTTGAGAACTCAATACTAGATTGTATTGGAGGAGGAGGTGAGCAGAACAATTGCATGTTTGGATTCCTCTCTAGGCTTGGATGCAGCTCATCATCACAATAAAGGTCTTCAGTTAACCTAGGTGTTGTTGTAAACCTTTCATATTTCAAACTTGAATTATTTGTACCAAAGTCTCAATTCTTCCATGAACATAAAGATTTTTTTTGAGAACAGAAATATGCAAGCAAAGTGAATTATGATGCATTTTTATCATTTCTGAATAATATTGTTTTTGAATTTTTGTTACACCATTACATGATAATACTTATTTTATATAATTTGTTTCCACTGGACCTGCAAGAGTTCATCAAAGAGTAACGGTATCGTTTCATATGAACGCTGTCCATTGAACCATTTTCTTCAGCCTAAAAAACAAACAGGTCTCCTTTATTTTTAGAGGAAAACGATAAACATGCAAACGTCTAATTTTGCAACCCCAAAACAAGGCAATGAAAATGTCATGGATGAAATTTAATTTGATATTCAAAATACAAGTCTTAAGTTTTTTTAAAAAAAATGCATTGTTGTTGCAGGCTTGTTGTATATTAATAAAAACCCCATTCAAAATGATGTATCTCAAGACTAGAATAACTATAATAATGCATGAATAAAACCAATAATAATATGACAATTTGTAAATTTAAACAAAAACTGAATCTAACTAGAACTGAAAAAACTAAAAAAACATATTTTGAGTTTCCAACTTGTTTTATAATGCTGAACACGTCAAATTGAATTGATTTAGTAGTCTTGTTAGCATAAAGCTTATAGTAGCTAAAGCAGATGCCAAGTATTGTTGTTATAGTAAAATATCTGTAAATAACAAAATCTGTAATCTATACATGGTTAATTCAGTCTTTAGACATAAAGGACAGACCACGATTAACCCTTTTTTTTAAGGTACAATGGTCAGTGACAACCATAAAACCAGAATAAAGTCGTCGTTTGACGTAAAACCGTTAAAAAAAAGTTTTGCGACATTTTTGTAATTAAAAACAACTTTTATCTTACTTTATACTGGTTATCAATGTAACTAAATCATACATTTTTATGCTAACTAGGAAAATATAGAAAATCTCGGGCATAAGGCTTGAAAAACTTCTTTAAAATTTAATTTGACCCCCCCCCCCCGGGACTTAATCTGCGTCTTTTAAGATACTAAAGGGCTTCGTCGTGCCTATCTTGTAATATACGGGGTTTAATGAATTTTTAATTTTTACGTTGGTACGGGCAAGTTCCGTTTGTTAATGTAAATAACAGATATAAATTACACAGATCTTTGATATATATGCCAAAGACATAGATTTTGAAGCTTAGATGTGAACATTGGCTGTTTTAATGTCATTGAGTACATGCTGCGTACATGAATTCTGTAGAAAGAACAGAAAGAAATATAAATTTAGTCGTTTTTCTATTCTTGTCATGAAATACTGCCCCGTGGTATATTGTTAGATTCCTGGAGTCTATTTATTTATCTATGAAAAATATGAATCATGCTTTGTTAACGAGTGTTAGTAATTAACTATGGTTAGCCTACGTTTAGTGAGGAAAAAAAGCTAGAGTGTGTTATTTCTTGAATGTTACTGCTGAACGTTACATTAGATTGTCGTCTTTCTTCTCTCCCGGAGCCTCCAGCAGTGCCCAGGCCTACAAATAAACAAACAAATGTTGCATCTCTCTAACTCATAACTCTTTAATTTTTTGCTTGAATAAATTAAGTAATTAGAAAAAATATAAAAAGGTTGCCTGTATTAAATAGGACTAAATTCATTGTAACTCCACGTCTTAAAAATTAAGGAACTCAAAATTGGTCCGATAGTCTCGTTAAGTTTTAATATACTTACAACTTTACAAGCAACCACATGGGGTCATCTGAGAATAAAAAATATGGGTTCAGTCGTTTTAGAACTTATTGGATCCAACCAAACATAAACAATGAAAATATTTATACAGAGAAATATAGTTTTATTGTTAATTTAAATTTATACCTGGATTCGGACTTCTGAGTACAGATTGTATTTGTGGAACAATTGGAGCTGTTTCGTACATTTCAAACCTCTCTAAATATAATTCAGAAATTATCACAAATCTCTTTTTATCCTCTTAAATGTTTTTAAAATGCAGGTACAACCAATGGATTATGATTAATATGAATTAGCAAAAATTGAGTTCGACGGTTACATTTTTGAGTCAAAGCTTGTCAATGAAAAAAAACTAATATGGAAAAAACTAATTTGTTTGACAATCATTCATTTTTTTCTTATATTATTAGTTCCTACAATCATTGATTAATAACAAAGATCGAAAACTAGATGTCGTCTTTTGAAGGTTTAGGAGGTTTTCGTTCACAATAACCCTGAGGCAGACGCCCGAAGGGGTAACGCGCATTCTGAGTAAAATCACATGTCAGAAATAGCCTGTTTTGCGCCGCATGCGCGTAACTCCTTTGAGCTTCTGCCTTAGGGTTATTGTGAACAAAACGCCCCTGAATCTAGTGTTTTATCTTTGTTGTTATTAATCTATGCTTGCAACTGTAACCTTGGTTTTTCTTTGCCAAATTAATTAGTATACCATTTTAAAAACGTATTCACGACTAAAGACAAATTTCAATTTTTGGTATTATTAAGGTAAGACTGGTATTTTAATTATAAAAATGTTACCTGTGTTCTGCACTGAATCTTCTCCATTAGCTACTGTTACAAAACTATCCCTACTGTAAAAAAAAACACATTTATTAAACAGATTAGATTATAAAGGATATTTTTTCTCCATTTGCCAAACATAAAAAAATATCTGTAAGAAGAGGTTTTTTTTCGAAAATAATTCAAATTAAGGATTGAATCCATGGACCAAGATTTGGGTCTAGAATCTAGATAACATTTTTGTCTTTTATATTAATCAAACTTTGGTTGATAACAGGTCATCGTTTGTAGAATGATAAAGTTTAAATAACTAGACTTTTAGGGCGCTTCGCGCCCATCATCTATTTCAACTTTTCATGGTGTTGTGTGAGCATCTTCTCTTTGTACAGTATAAAACAAAAACAAACAAATAAAGTTTGCGGATTTCATAATATTTTTTCGCGCATTTTCAAAATTTTACTAAAATAAAAAACTTTTAAACGCAAATTTTTAACATTTTGATCATTCATAAACCTTCCCTGGGGTTACGTGAGGTCCCACAAAAAATTTGGGCCCGATCGGTTCAGCCGTTTTGACGTTTATTGGATACAAAAAACAGACAGACAAGCCAAATTTATAGATAGATGGTGGGTAAAATATAAAATCTGCTTTAATTGAATTTTTTTAAAATTAAATAATAAAATAGAAATAACAACTATTTATCAAGAGTTGTGAAAGGTATGTAAACATACTCTACCTTAAAGTAGAAAGGTTGGCTTGTGAAGGTTTGGGTTGAGGTTCGATCCTGTTTTCTCCAGGTACAGAAACCGTACAGCACGAGTCCAGAGTATCACTAAAAAAGTACGTATGCAAATTCATTCTGAGGTATCGAGAATTTTTTTTTTGGGGGGGGGGGGCTGGATGTCTTTTGTTTTTTATTACAAAAAATCACTTTTATACATCTTAATGTTCGAAAAACTACTTTTTATTTAAATCCAACAATATTTCATTTTGATCTTTTTTTTAAGATGTTACAACAATGTGACAATTTAGGCTATTGGTCATTTACAATATTTCAAAAAAAAGAAAAACTGATTTCTTACTTCATCTCTAACTTTCTACGGAACAGGTTGGAAAGATATAGGAATTATGAAAACTAAAGTTTTAAATTGAAATTGATAAAAAAAAAAAGTTGCGCGCACGCTGTACCTCAGATCCCCGGCCTCCATGAGCGCGTCCTGGAATGCGGACTGTCTACTTTCCTGCCTACTCTGCGGGGAGGTGGAGATCCTCGACCTATTTTCCTGGGGGGTGGAGGTCCTCAGGGTCATTATAGTCGGTGTCTGGGTTTTCATTTTCAGAATTCTGTTTAGGAATCAAACTTTAAAAAATTGAAGAAAAAGGAACCCTAGAAGTTTGAGCAGATTACTGGGGAAAATGATTTTTGAAAATGTGGGATGGGGGGGGGGGAATATTTAACAAATAACAAATACAAATAAACAATACAAATATAATAATTGGCAAGAACACTATAATGCATATTGAAAATTGCAAGTGAATTTCGTTGCTTGTTTTCGTTTTGAAACGGCAAACAAACTAGAACTAATTTATTTCCCTATTGGGATCCCATTATTAAAAGTCATATTTCAAGATTTCAAGATTTCAGTGCTTAAAATAAACAAAATGTTTGGTAAAAATAGTGATTTTTTCAAGTTTTGTACTCCCCTGGCTGTGTGTATTTGAGGTGGGGGAGGGAGGTGTTCCATGTCTTCAGCCATATTGTTGAATATGTTGGAGGATTTCCTCCGACCTAACTCTGGGTCAGGGTTGATCACACTCACATCATTGTTCAGAAGAGATTGGACCTACCGATCAGATTTGTGTTGTTAAAATGAAGTGAACAGAACCTTTCTCCATGCCATAAATTCAGGGGTCCATATAATTTCAACAAATGAGATCCAAAATATTGATTGATTAATATGTGAGAGGCAGAAATTCACCATGTTGCCTATTGTAAACAAATGTAAGTACGATTTCTAGTTGTTAAAAAAATTCCATACTGAAGAATTATAACTGTTAAACATAATATATCTCATTTATTGATTGCTGAAATTAACATCTTTTAACCCTATTCCTGCTGGGATACTTGAAAACCAGGATACGCTAGGAGGGGGGGGGGGGTAATTAGACCCCCCCCCCTCTAAATCCCATGTTTGATGTTCAAATATGACAAATGATACATAATTGGAAAGCTCTAATGCTCTACTTTTAGAATCCGCAAACAAATTTGCAAATATGCAAAAATTGATTTTTCCGCAAAATCCAGTTATATAGTAAAAATGTTTGCAAAAAATGTCCAACAAATTAAAAAATATTCATTTTTGAAAAGCCCTTGACCATACCATTTCAAATATGCAAAAAAAGTAGCAAAGTTTTAAATAACTTGATGTGTAATTAAGAAAAACTAAAAATGTGCGAAATCATTAATGACAGGTTGAATGCAAAACATTTGCAAAACTTCTGCAATCCGTTTCCTTATGTCGTAGGATTTACAAAAAGCTAAAAATTATCAAAATCTGACAACTGAAAATGGGTCAAAACAATGATTTAGGAAAAAGTAGTTATTCAGACAGTGTTTCCTGAGGAATCAGGCAGTTAGTATAAAAGCCCGGTTTTAGGTCTAAAGGGAGAGCTTTGGGTGTTTAGGAAAAGTCAGAAAATTGCAACAGCCTCAGACCAATACTTTTTGAGTTATGTAAAAAAAGTAAAAAACTAAAGGGGGGGGGGTCAAATTGCCCCCCCCCCCCTAGCAGGAATAGGGTTAACGCCCCAACTTTAGTACACATTTTTAAGTATATTACACGTACACAAAGACATTGCCAATGTTCACAATAACAATGTATTTTCCGTCTCAAAATGTACTTTCAAGTCCGATCCCATTGAGTTCAGAGATGGAATTATATGGACCAGTGCATGGCGCGCATGCTTAATGAACTTTTGTCCTTGTAGGAACTAAAGACGTAATTTCAAATAACCCTAGTTTTGTGACATATCTTATTCCCCTTTTGTTTGATCAATGATGCTGGAGTGTTAACACGTATGTTATCCGCAGAAACACTTGTAATTGTTGATAACATTATAAGAGCTGACTTATATTTATTTAACAGTAATATTATTTACCGAGAGAGTAACAGATAAGTAACTTTGTCATTCGAGATTTGAAAACCGGTGTCAAGAATAAAATATTCTGAATTTAGAAATTCTAAAACGGAAAATATGTGACGTTTTTCATAATTGTTTACGCAGCTCGGTATACTATAATGTTAGATTTGTTACTTGAGTACCAGGCTGAAAAAAAGGGTACCGTTGTAAATCCTACAATCAACATGCCACTATTAATGAAAGGTAAATTCAAATTACGCATATAGTCCCTTTATTCAAATTAATTCATTTTAGAAAAAGCTTCAACAATTTTTTTTTAGATTGTTACTTTGGTTTCAAACTTTGAAGTGGGTATTTTTTAGCCTTTTATTAAAAACTAGAAATTCAAGGCGCTTCGCGCCCTTCTTTCTAGCCTTAGAGGGCGCTTCGCGCCCATCTCCTAAATGAATTGTGAACATGTTCTCTTTCTGTACATCATAAAACAAAACAAAAATAATTCGCGGATTTTCACCAAAAAATTCGCGGATTTTTAAAATTTTAAAAAATTTAATGACGATCGAATTTTGATGGAGACAAATATTTAAAATTTCAATCATTCATAAACCTTCCCTGGGGTCCCTAGATGTCCCACAAAAAATGTGGGCCCGATCGGTTCAGCCGTTTTGACGTTTATTGGATACAAACAAACAAACAAACAGACAAACACCAAGACAAGCCAAATTTATATATAGATACCTGACGAAATACTCCCACACTTCGTAACTCATCCAGGTTACAGCTTAACCTGAGATAAAACATTATTTTAATTCAATTTAGTAATTAACAACTGTGACTAGTGTTGTGACACTTTAGATTTACAAGAATATAGATCGCTCATGTCGTCTTCGCCATACCGGAGGGTTACAGTTGAAATTGAAAATGGCAATTTAGCTATGGTACTAGCTACTGACGTACAGCTTTACAATCTGCATTAGCAATCTATATTCTTGTATATATATATGTGACACTGTTTATGAATCTGAGCTATAAATATTTTGATCTTGATAGAGATATATCTTATAAGTTACTTCAAAGCCTTTGACACAAACTCAAATTTTCTCACCCCTATTTATAAGTAACCTCATGGTGTAAATCTTTAACATTTCAAACTTTAATTATTTGGTTCAATAGAAATAATATTTTGACATATCGAAGATCTATGACATCGGAGCCCGCGATTTAAAAGCTTCGGCTCGAGTCGTAATTCCTTAAACCCGACTTTAAGACCCAATCTTCGACCCAACTCTAATGACAGCTTGTGTCACGTGATTGACAGCTGCAAGATCTTCAGCTCGACTTAAGGAGTTAGGCCCAATGAAAATAAAACCGACCTTGGTTGGTTTTAGTGGAGAATAAGGCTCAATGTTGAGTCTTGTTCTCATAAACACCCGGGAATGCGCCAATTCCTAACATGAAAATCCGCCAAATAGAATATTAAACCGGTTTTTTAATTCAACTCGGTGGAAAATTAGATGCAGCTTGAATCCGAAAACTCAAGCCGTAAATAAGGTCCAACGACAGCTTAGACCCGAGCCGTATTTCCCCGAATTTTTTAAATCGCGGGCTCGGGTTGCACAGATGTAGGGCTCAGAAAATCAGAGTTTTTGGTAAAAAAGCAATTCCTAATTTAGCTAGTTGAAGTTGAAGCATGGGTTTAGAGATCGTAGAACTGATAGACAACACCGGCTTAATCTATAAAAGTCCTAGGTTTACTGGGATATTTAACATAAAAGTATCAGCCTTAGAACGCATATTTTAATTGTGTCCATTAAATCCTATTTTTTCAAACTCTGTTTTTTAAGTGCAGGGTTATCCACAAAGGATGATACTTAAGAGACAACTTTACAGAGTTTGTATTGCCTGTTTCATTATATTAATGATTCCCCGCAACTGTAAGCTGGTTTATTTCTTGGTAATATCCTTTGAAAAGCCATGAAAAGACAAGAATGATGACAGAAGACAGAATATGACGTTAGAACGACACAGTTTCATAGTTTCAGGTCGACTTTACAGTCGTATTCTTTGTGGGTAACTCTGTATGTTACCTGTTTCTCCCTCTACCCGGAGCAATGTTGTTCAACCCGTCCTGGCTCCGTCTGTATCTGACAGGGATATCATATTTCTTCGGATTATGAGTAGGCGTAGGTCGGCGGAGTAAATCTGAAACCTTCTCCGCCGGGGTTTGATAAATCTTCGGCGGAGTATGAAACTCCGCCCCGGATAGCTTTCTGCTCTGGTAACAAGGTATATCCACAGGCGGAGATGTGTTAGGCGCTGTCGTGTACAAGGAGGCGGAAGGATATAATCCCTCCAGGCTACTAACAATACTTTTTACTCCGCCCTGGTTTAGGTTCCAATCTGCCCGAGGCGGAGAATCCGCCACGTCACAAGCTTTGGCAGCTACAACAGTCTCACGGGGATTTCTATAAAATAAACAGTAGATAATTCCTGCATTTATCCGTACTTTTTCTTGAACCTCCAAATTACTTTAAGAAAACTGTGCAGTGTAAGTGCAGATATAGTATTTAAAAGAATAATGGAAAATGCATGCTACCCCTAAACAAAGAGGATTTCAGAAAAGAAGGCAACTATCTTAATAAAAAACTTGATCTATTCCATGCACATGATGTATTATAATAAAATCTTAATCATGTGGTTTTTAATTATGAAAAACAATAAATATCCATAACAATTTAACAATTTCGATACCACAGAGATCCAGAACACTATAAAAAGTTACATCAATTTCAAGATTGAAGTGTCACAGCCCCTGCGTTTTAATTTTACCTCTTAACAACTTTCTTAAAGTTTGCTGGTGCCTTTGACAATTTAATTTTAGAACTTTAAACATTTAGTTTGATCTTTATCTTTTAAGAAGTAATTGGTACAATTTGCATGGATCTTTGCACCCTTTGAGTTACTTTGATACATAAATAAATCTAGAAAAATGGTGCAGGTCTAAAATTATATACCCATTATTATGCAGCAGCATTTCTAGGTCTTTCAACTTACTAGAAGGAAACAGAAGAATTCTAAGAACAAAATACCACCATATGGTATCATGACCAAGGGCAGGAATTAATGAGTTTGAGCCAGGTCTAGGAACGGTTCAACCACGCAACTTGAATCAGTAACTCAGGGTTTGTAATATTCTATAGAGGATAGCTCCGCTGCTGAACTACTGATAAGTATTTGAATCGACAGTAGGTAGTTAAGCGACCTAGCTCAAATTCATTGAATTCAGTCACTGGGAACCAAGTTCTCACCTATTCCAAAAACTCATAAATATTCCTTTCTTTCCCTCCGGCTTCCGTTGGTGTTTGATGTTTTCACAAGGTTTCAAGAAACCTGGGTTTGCCTGGTTTCTCTTCTCTCCCTCTTCCCTTAACCCTCTTCCAAACCTTTAGTGCAGGATGCAGATTAAAATAAAGAAAAAATCTTATCTGATTCACCATTGTCATTTTCAATTCTTTTTCTCGTAAACTCTAAACCGGTTTTACAAATGCCAAAAAAATAAATTTTGCAGCCTTTGAAATGAAGAAATTTTAAGCGGGGGGAGGGTTAATAATTGAAAATTATCCATCGGGTAGTTTTTATGTAATTTTGCTATAAAAGAGACATGTTAGCGGTCTGTTTTAATCCATTCTCAATTGAATTAGCTGCTAAAATTTGTTTATCAATTCCGTTTGCAATGACAAAGGTTGATAAGAAAATGATGAAGGAAAGAAAAAGATTCGTGCAAAAAATATGCAAAATATTGAAGATTGCATAACGCAGATAAATGTGTGCATGCAAAAAGAAAGGTCGACGGCGTGCACAGTAATTCAGATTTCTTCTTTGTAAAGTGCAGTTCGAAGGATAAATACATTTATCACAAACTCTAATTTTTTATATCCTTATATCGTTGCAACCTGAGATCGGAACTTTTACGCGAATATTGAAAATTTTTAACGGTTGATCTCGATATTTAATGTGGGCACTTATGCTTAATCCCTCTAGTTAATTATCCCTGCAAGGTAAGCGTAATACTTTTATGGAATATTGAATGAATTAATCCGTAGATCTACCGGGTGTCCCAAAAAAACGATCTTTAAGACACTCACTATGGTTCAATTTTAAAAAATTTGTACTTTTTTGGAATCTTTGCAACATTTCCCATCGACTAAAACCAAAAGGTTCATAGCACTAAAATAAAGGAAGGAAGTTTGCATTTTTTGGCTGGGTTGAAAATCCAAGTACAAAACTGTCTCCTTCTTGGTAAATCTTCAGGTTTAAGTTCCTCCCTTCTGATTGGCCAATATGGGTGATACTTCCTTAACATCAAGGAGTTTCTTCTTGCAGAACTTAAAGGAGAAGTATTACTGTAGCAACCCTGACAACATTTCTAGGAGTTCTGACTTGTCGGGATCTTCCACTGGATGAATTTCCAGGACTTGTCTTGCTATTCACATTAAGTAATGTCCCTTACTCTATTACTTTTTTATAAATTCTTCTTTCATGACATATAGCAGGCTGTCTTGCATTGGGAAATGTACTTTTTTAAAAACTAGGCTTGTTCTTTTTGTTTTCATTTAAAAACAAAGAAGAAAAAATTTTTGCGGATTTAAAAAAAAAAATCGCGGATTTTCAAGAATTTAATTTTTTTTTACAAAATTAAAAATCTTTAAAACACTTTTTTTTATCATTCATAAACCTTCCCTATGGTTACGTGATGTCCCACAAAAAATTTGGGCCCAATCGGTTCAGCCGTTTTGACGTTTATTGGATACAAACAAACAGACCAACAGACAAACAGACATACAAGCCAAATTTATATATAGATTGAACCATAATGAGTGCTATAATGTCTTAAAGATCGATTTTTTTTGGGACACCATGTACATAAAATGTAAATCAATATTTGTTCTCGAGATTCACAACAGAAAGTTCTGACTTCTGATGTCGTAAACCTTCGATACTTCAAACTATGAATTCTGATAGGTCTAAAACTTTAAGATTTCAAAATTTAAACCAACAGGTTGCAAAGATTTAAGGACTAATAGAGTTGGAGGGAAGTACTCAGTTCCTTAGGTTTAATCTTGAAGAAAATGGTTAATTTGTTTCACTAGGGCCGTAAAATCTCTGGAAGATCCACTAAATCTTTGGTTTGTTTTTAAAATAATTTCCTAATTTGGGAGTATCTATTTTTCAATGATTATCCCATATGTATGTGTGTGTGTGGGGGTAAAACTTTCAGTAAAGAAAAAAAATTGTAAAAATTATGTTTTTTAGAAGTTTTTTATGCAGGGTTTTATCTAAGAAAACTTGTTCCATTAGACAAACCTCTCTTTTTCTCCGACAGAGTTTATAGTTGGGAGCACAGCTGCACAAACATGGCCGCCGATCAGTTCTACACTTGAACCTACTCCTCTGTCCTGGTCGGAGGAACCCGTCCTGTATCTCGGAGGTCCCTGAGCCCATTTTAGTTTCTCCGGGTTGATAGGTTTCCTGGTTGGAGCTGATATCTGTTCCTCCAGGGCTGTCTGATAGAGAGCAGAGTTGCTGAGATCCTCGTCCTCCTGCAATCATTTATAGTTTATATGGTTGTATTTATTTTCTTTAATTATCCTTTACACCCTCTCCCTAGCAAAAATTCATTTTTCCCCTTAAGAATTGCGAATTCTTTAATGATGAAAATGTCGATTTTTTATAACCCATCCTCCCCCCATTTGATCAAATAATTTATACCCCTGACTTAAAAAGTCTTAAGTACAATTTGAAAAAGGATAAGATAATAAAAAACCTTGAAAGAATTTGATCAAAAATGTCAATTAAGATTTTATTGTTTTCAACTCTTTTGATTCTCTTAAATTATTTAAGCAGGGATGTATTTTTTCTTTAACTATGTTTTACTCTCCCTTCTCATAAAAAATCTATTTTTACTACCAGTATTTTGAATTTTCAAATTCTTTTATTATAATAGTGCTAATTTTTTTTTTATTTCCAAACATCTTTGAAAACAATTCTTTAAAATATACACCCATAGAGAATAGAATATATATTAGAGGGGAATTAAAAGAATCTCTCGGTATGAATTTTTTCAGTCCCTTTCAGGCTGAAAGGGAGTTCAAAGTGTACAAATCATGTAAATGTTCACAAATTATATGCAGTAGAGTACATTAATACAGTATGTTCCCTAGACTATTCATTTCAATTTCGAATTTTTTAAACGTTAAATAAATTAATTAATTAATGAATTAGGTGAATAAAAAACATCATTTCATTTATAGTTATAACGGAAAATCATCGTTTGTAAAGTGAAAGGCATAGAGTCTATGTAAAATGATCATTGGTCAATTATGAAACCAGCCTATCTCATAATTTTAGATTTATTATAAAATGATATTCCAGGGCCCAAAAGGTTATATAGCATAAATATGTGAAGTACACCTGCAGTATTGAAACAGTACAACAAAATAACCGTTTTACACTTTTTTCTAGTAAATTCCTCTCTATATATTCTATTCTCTATGTATACACCCCATAATTCAAACTTACTGTCTAAAGTCCAATTCGAAAAAAAGATAATTAGATAAAAAATAAATAATCTGAGATCAGTTTTATTAAAAAATTACCAAAAAAAGTGAAAGGATTGTCTTCTAAAGTTTTGAAATGTAAGTTAAGGAATATATGATGGACAAATTCTTGTTTAAAATTTAAATAATATAAAAATAAGGAATTAAATCTTTGCCACAAACTCTGATTTTCTAAACCATATATTTTTGTGACCCAATGTTGTAGACCTTAGATATTTCAAACTATGATTATTAATATAGTCAAAGGTTTAAACCATCAGGTTGCAAAGATACAGGGGTTAGAAAATTTGAGTTGGTGACAAAAACTCAATTACTATAAATAAAAATCTATCTTACTTTAGTAATATTGTTTTCAGAATTTGCACTGGGTTCAGGATAAACTCCAGTAGGTCTAGTTAGACCTGGAGGAGAGGATTTCCGTCCTCCTGGACAAGGTTTCCGTCCACCTGGATAGGACGGAGTAAAGGCTCTGCTTCCAGGTATACTAGGTATATGGCTACCAACTCTATGGCTAGCAGGTTTGATCCCAGTCTCATAGTCAGATCTACCACTAAAACAAAAAGTTGCATTTTTTACAGAAAAATAACATAAAGAAATTATTTATTAGTATCGAATTATGATTGTGATTATTTATTAATATGATTATTGATTATTTATTAGTATTGAAATATAATTATGAAGTACGTTAATAATATAGAAATTTCTTTTCGTGTTTAAATTATTGGTTCTAAATAATGGTATGGTATGGTAATAATTAAAGGCTATATTATGTATATTATGTATTATTGTCTATTATAAACAAATATCCTTCTATATTCAAGTAAATATTTTAGTAAGTAAGCTGTATGCAAAAATAAAATGATCTCTTAGCCAAATTGGACAGAAAGACAGACAGATAGACAGACGAACTAATGTTTATATAAAAAATACAGATCACAGAAATCTAAACTGTTATGAATATCATTGAACCATGAGATCAGACTAAATTTCGGGCATTGACCATTCTACCCTATATTTGTAGATGTTTAAAAGAATTGAGTCTTTGCCACAAACTCTGATTTTTCATCTCTATATCTTTGCAACCTGATGGTGTAAACCTTTGATATTTCAACTTAGACTATTTGATCTAATAGAAATAATAGTTTGAAATATCTAAGATTTACGACATTGGGTTGCTGAGATATATAGAGACTGGAAAATTTGTGACATAGACACAATTTCTTTGCAACATTTTGTCTCTACATAGATACAGAGTTGTAGTAGAATTTACGAAAATCTTGAGCATATTTTTATTTATGGTCATTTTACCTCTTTAACTTTCCAGCTTGTGTGCATATAACCCCGTCCACGATAATAGAAGAGAAAACAGATTTTATAAAACTAAATTCAAATTATTTTTTTTAACACTTCAGACTTTCTGACCAATTATTGTTTGAAAATTGTAAAACAAAGAATAATGGACTTTCATTGGACTGTAATTTCTTAAAAAAAAACACAGCCCCTTGACGCCTCTTCANAACAACTTAACCCTATCCCTGCTGGGGGACTTGAAAACCAGGATACGCTGGGGGGGGGGGGGAATTTTTTCCCCCCCCCCCCCCCGGCCACCAATGATGCAAGCAATGTGTTTTAATTCTTTTTATTGCTGAATTGAAAAAAAAACGAATTTTTGGATAATTTTAAGATAATTAAAATGAAAATAATACAATTAAAAAGTAAAACACCGTAAAACATCTTTTAATGAAATGATAAAATATCTGCAGACCTTTTGACAGTTAAGGGTGACTGAAAATTTAAATCACTGATCAGTCTGGGGTATTTGATACAATATGAATTTCTGAATGATTGAAGTGTAAGAAAAGATTTCCTAATCATGAATTGTAGAATAAATACAGGGAATGAAATTACTCCATGAACAACTAGATATATCTTAGTTGCAAACCCAGCCATTCTTTTTCTCCTAAATTGGGGGGAACCCATAAAGCTGTGGAATAAGATGACGATATTTAAACAATTTCTGTGTATTTCATGTTGTTTTAAACAAATGATTTTACCAATAGTTTTAATATAATATTAATAAGTGAAATGGGTCTGTGAACACTGCAAAATTTCTGTATTAAATTGGACTATTTATATTAATAACTTGAGTCTGAAAGTCGTCTTCCTATTCCACAGTTTTAAGGGTCTTACTGTTGGATTCTAGTTTGTATTTGTGAAACTGCAGATCACTTAGCATCAGTTGAATTACTTCACTCTTCATACAAATTCGATTTCATCACTTAGATCAAGGATCAAACCAATTAGTTCATCCTTTTAATTATTGAATTCATAATTCCCTTTAAGATCATACAAGTCACCACATAATTATAAGATCACTAGTGAATATTTTAACTGTAATAATTGAGTATTTTCGCTAAAAAGTTAGAGTTTAGATTTCCCCTCTCCGGGATACGTTGTTCAACCAAGGCCCAGCAATTGCCGTAATTTCCCGGATTTTACTCCTGCAGGCTACGGAAGAAAGCATGCAGTTCCGGTTAAATATATCACAACTTTAAAAATCCCCCACCTTCCACATTTCTTTATCTTTTAATTGTTTTCAGGGTTGCACTATTGTTGCTCTAATTGGTTCTGGATTTTTTTTTCTAAAACCTTACTTTCTTCCTTTTAAATTATGTAGGTCATTTCTTCGAGCACGGTTCCTATTTTTTACATTTTATTATTTCATTTTATTTTCAACAAATATGATTTAAAATATTGAATTACACAGAACTATTTACGTTGTGCATACATTTCAACAGATCAATATTTACCCTAATTAAGCGTTCAAGCTTTATACAACATTTTATAATTTTTATATGCATTTAAATATGATTTGGCTACGTACAACATCATTAAATTTAAATTTTGTTGTCTAAGATAATTCAGAAAATTAGAAGTGTAATAATTTGTAAAAATTAAATCTTATTGTTTTTGGTCTAACTGGACGGAGCGCCCGGTCGTCGCCATTAAGTATTGGCATTATAATGAACTATAATAAACAGGAAGTTAAAATTGAAGATGAGTGGGTAGGGGGGGGGGGTGGAGGGGAGGAAAAACAAAAGGTGGTTGGAGTGCAAGGGGTAGGCAGGTGAGCTGAAGGGCGGGGGGACTAGGTAGGGGTAGGTAGAGGGCAATTTTCCTATGGCAATTTTTGTTTTCCATGGTCTGGTTCAGATTTGATAGACAACTGACACACAACTTCTCCCTCCATAACACTGTTTCTCCTCCCTTGACTTACCTCTCCTCCCTAACCCGTTTCCCCTCTATTGTTTTACCTCTGTTTCTCCTCCTTTCTTAACCCTGTTTCTCCTCCTTGCTAACCCTGTTTCTCCTCCTTTCTTAACCCTGTTTATCCTCCTTTCTTAACCCTGTTTCTCCTTCCTTTCTTAACCCAGTTTCTCCTCCTTTCTTATCCCAGTTTCTCCTCCTTTCTTAACCCTGTTTATCCTCCTTTCTTAACCCTGTTTATCCTTCCTTTCTTAACCCTGTTTCTCCTTCCTTTCTTAACCCAGTTTCTTCTCCTTTCTTAACCCTGTTTATCCTCCTTTCTTAACCCTGTTTATCCTCCTTTCTTAACCCTGTTTCTCCTTCCTCCTGTAAATCTAATTCTCCCCACAATGTTAACAGATGTTCACCCACCCATTCTTAACCCTATTTACTCGCCCTTTGTTAACCCTATTCACCTGCCGATTCTCAACCCTATTCATCCACTTAAACATGGTCGGTTGGTCAATGTTTAGGCATTGTTATGATATATTCTATCAATTTCAGAAATATTTTAGCCATTTAAGAAAATACTCCCAAGTTTGTAACTTTCCCTTGAAAAGTATGGAGAAACTTAAAATGATCAATTACATATGTAAGGGTAAAAAATACACATTCTAAGGAATTGAGTTTTTGTTACAAACTCTGATTTTCTAAACCCTATATCTTTGCAACCCGATGTCGTAGACCTTAAATATCATTTTATGTTCTATAGAGGGAAAAGGACTAAAATTAAATGGTTGAAATACAGAGAGCAAGGGTGGGGGGTTCTACGAAGAGCAGAACCTAAACAAGAAATATTAATTTTGTGGGTTCTTCTTCAAAAACTTCTAGACTTTCATCCCCACTCCCCAGTTCCCTCATAGGTTTGGAAATTATGCACGAGATTTTTGGTCGCTAAAAATAAATTTAAAGGAGAAAAAGGTGAATTTTACTGAAGAAAAAACGCAGTAAATATATTAAATCATGCAAGTCGGAGTCCAATTTTTTTTAACCCAAAGCATCCATCTTTCCCCTCACACTCATCCGAGGGGGAGTGGAGGGGGCGGTGAGGGGAGGGGGTTGGTGAGAAGATTAACCCCTGGTCCTATCTTGTCAATAAACTGCCTAAGGATAATTAACAACAGGTTGAAGATTAACCCTCTGACATATTTCACAGCAGAAGTTTAACCAAGCAGTAGATCCTATCTGTTCTATCAAACCTATCAATCTTAACAATCCTACAGATTTAGAAGAATGTGGAATAAGTAATGAATCTTCATTCCAATAATTAAGTCAGTAAACAGCGGACTTTGCAGCACGTTAAACTGAAATAAATCTGACATGTTTTAAAATAAGACTCCACTTAGTGAAGAGCGATTCAAAAGAACTAAAATGTTATGTATTTTTAATATGTAAGAAGATAGCTTTTCCTCTCATATTTCTGGGAAAAATCAAAACTAGAAGCTACGAGGTCAAAAAGTCGCCCCAGTTTACCCAGTAACGTCACTCATATTTGACCTTCTTCTTCTGTTTAGTTTGCAGTCACGTGACAGCTGTGTTTTAAAAGTCTGTTTTAGCATTAAACAGAATATTCATGAATAAGAAACTCCCGTTTTTAAATATCATTCTTTTCCTTAAAAATTTGTAACCCCCCCCCATGCAAATTTCTCCTAGATTTTAAGATGTGCTTAAATTATAAATTTCATAAACTAACCTATCTGAATAATATTCGTATTAGAGTTGAAAACTCAATCAAATTATTTCTGAATATTCCTACTTAAAAATTCCAGCNGATTTTTAAAGTAGACGATATTTTCAATAAACTTTAAAAATTAACAATCTCAAACCCCGTAATTATTTGACATATCTTACAATAAACATTTAACCTTTAGTTACATTCAAAACTATCATAGTTTAGGATCCGGATCCGCAACATTTTGCTCCCTGGATATGCAGATGCAAAAATATGCAGATCTACGGATCCGGACCAAAGGTGTTAAAAAATCAACCTGTCAGCTAAAAAAATTATTTTTCCTCCACAATTTTTTTTAAATCGGAACTCTACTAAAATGAAACAAGGAGACTGGAGACTGTAGATATCCCCAGACTAATGTCAAATAGTTTTAAAATGTCAAATTGTTGAATATCGTAGAAAATGAAGAGAATCGATTTAAAACTTGTCATGAGATATATTTGTGAAATCAATACGGGGGGAGGGGAGGGGAGTGGGGGTAGTTAGGGGGATATTTCTAATCCAGTTCTTTGACAAGAATGTCAATGTTCAAACAACTTAACCCTATCCCTGCTGGGGGACTTGAGAACCAGGATACATACATGATATGACAAATAATACATCATATAGAATCCGCAATTTTTTTTTGCAAATTTGCAAAAATAGAATTTTTTTTGCAAAATCCAGTTATTAGCAAAAATGTTTGCCAAAAAAATGTCCAAAAGATGATCAAATTTACATTTTAGAAAAGCTCTTAACCATGCCATTTAAAATATGCAAAAAAATTTGCAAAATTTTAAATAACCTGATGTGTAATTAAGAAAAACTAAAAATGTGCTTCTTTTGACGAATTGTGTGCAAAAAAATTGCAAAAATGTCTTTGCAAGTCTTAAGCAATCCGTTTCCTTATGGTATAGGCTTTCCGAAAAACTAAAAATTATCAAAATCTGCCAACTGAAAGCGGGTCAAAACAATGATTTAGTTTTTTTACAGGAAAAAGTTTTCATTCAGGCAGTGTGCCTGAGGATTCAGGTAGTAAGTATAAAAGCCCGGTTTTAGAACTAAAGAGAGGGCTATGGGTATTTAGGAAAATTTCAACATGTAAAAAAACTACAGGGGGTCAATTTGACCCTCCCCCCCCACCCCCATTGTTTCAAGATGATTGACCTGTTAGCAAGAATAGGGTTAATAATATTGTTTCAAGATGATTGACCTGTAACCCCCCTCCCCCCTAAATCAGAGGTTAATACTAAATATTCAAGTATTTTTTCCAAAAACTTTTTAAAAGTTAACAATTTTAATTTTTGAGAAGTATAAATTAATTTTCAGCAGACAAGTATAAAAATATGCTTTTTTTAAAATGTTTTTTTAAATTTAAATTATTTTTGGGAAAACTGTAATATTATATAATTACCAATTTAATAGAATTTGTGTATCGTCATCTTCCTGCCTGCTTCTGCAGCAGGAAATGCAGGAATTCAAATAAGATTTCATGCTTTAGACCAAAACAGTAACAAAGTCACAACTCTTTTTTCTCACATATTTTCACCGCTGGTTTAAAAAGTAAATTTTAACCGAGATAACAAGCACTAGATATTTAGTTTTGAATTTAATATGTTTAAAAAATAGTTCTTAATTAACAAATGATTCGAGTTCTATATTTTATAGAATACTGAGAGACTTGACAGTGAAGAGTTGATAAGAACCTTATGATAAATTAGATCTGACACTAGTTCTGTTAATAATTATATCAGGCTTATATTTATATAAAATAATAATAATATTAATAATAATAATAATAATAAACTTTAAAAATGATGATTATAATAATAATAGTTCTAATAATACTTGCAATACAATACAATACAATATTACAAATACTAATACTTCTACTACTATTAATAACGAGAGAAATGCTAATAATAATAAAACTAGAACCAACCTGATAATATTGGATCTAGGTATAGAGCTAGGTCTACTAACTCTAGATCTAGGTTCAGAGTAAACCGACCTAAGGTTCTCTTCGTCCCGTCTTGATCTCCGGTTCTCTCCGTCCTGTCTTGATCTTTCTCCGTCCCGCCTTGCTCTCAGAGATTCATAAAGCCTTGATCCCCGCCCTCCAACCCTGAAAACATTGAGTACTTCCAAAATCATGCACCCCAAGATCCCGCGTCATCCAGACATAACAAATACATTTGGGAATCTTTATTAAAAGACGACATTTCTCTCTATGAAAGCTATATCCAATGCTGAATGAACTACTATGGTATGTACTACTAGTTTTGAAGAACAATTGATCATTTAAACTGCGCATGACTTTATTGGTGTAGTATTTCAGCCAGTGCTTGGATCCGGATCCGTTGAGATTATAAAAATTTCCGGATCTCTGAATGGTTCATCAAGTTTTACCATAATAATAAGCAAAAAAAGAAGAAAAATAATTGGACAATTTTGCGTTTCGTTGCGTTGTTCATGATTAGGATTCGGATCCGGATCCATTTTCATCCCGTGCTGATCGCAGATCCAGGATCCGGATCCGGATCGACATCAAATTAAATAGATCCTAAGGACTGATTTCAGCTAAAAAAGAGATGACTTTAGGTAAAACTAAGAAAATAAATATAGCTCTAACGAAAAAAATAGAAGTACAACGGAAAACCAAAAAGTGTTTTATTTGAACTTCCGGAAATTAAATCATGCCTGTTTCGAGAAAAACGATTTGTTCAAATGTTCAATAGTTCAAAGGATCAGTAGTTCAACCACTATTTGGAAAAAATTTCTTCGTCTCATTTCTGATTCTGGATGTCTTAGTCTGGTGACAATATGTGACTATATGGTTTGATTTTAGCGATTTTCTTTACAAAGAAAACATTGAATCTCTATCTTCCCGTTCTTTTACATTTTTCTGATTTTAAAAATCTACTTTGATTGAAAAACTCGTGGAAAAAGCAAGTTATGAAATTTTTTTAAGCTTCCATTACTTTTTTGGGTAGAAATCTTGTTCTTTTCTATGATGCAAAAAAAGAATATTTCAGGGAAAAAACATTTAAAACTTGCAAAACAAATTTCAATTTGAAAGATTATGTTCAACCTAACGGAATCTAAACTTATTTAACTGGTTTATACCTTTTATTCGTAGAATTCTCCGGACTGCTAAGTATTTCCCCCTCGGAGCCGTAGAAGTGTCTGAACTTTATCTCCGGGTCCTCCTGAGATCCGGAGGAGGGGAGGATGTGGATCCCTGAGTCGGAGCTCTTCCGTCCTCTCTCCGAGTCCGAACTGTCACAGGACGAACTTGATCCACAAATACCTCTAAAATACAGTAGAATTAGCCACAGTAGAAGAAAATAAATAGATCAAAGTATGGCCGAGCTATAAACGGAATATAATATATAATCTGCCAATCTAAAAGCATAAAAAACTTGATAGAATCAGAATAAGGAGCACAAAGTGCCATGAAGTTTGGTGAATTAAATTACGTGGAAAATATAACAAATACAGACTTTCACACAAATACTTTAAATTTCCCAGTGGTTTATTTTTAATGTAACTGTACACAACTTTGTTTACTTTATATCAGGCCAACTTATTAGTTTCACACTGTATAATGTACCTGAGTTCGGGTGAGCTCTCTCCACTAGATAGATCCACTCCTTCGCGTAGACTTGATATACTTCCCTCATCTAAATATTTTAAATCTAATAAGCGGTGCTTAGGATCCTGGATCAGCCCTGTAAAAAATCCGGAGCCAGATCCAGGTCATGAACATTTTCCTTAAGTTTTACTGATTTTTTAAAAAGATGAAAAATTTCTAATTTTTTTCTTCCTTTTTTTCGCTTTTTTATGCTTTAACTAACCGTTCAGAGATTATGAAGTTGTTTAAATAATTGGTTGAGATTTTTGTCTTGAGATTTTAAAAAAATTTATCAGGTTTTGATTGTTGGTTTGTTAGTATGTTCGAGCATAATTGGATATATTGGATCAATTTGCCTCAAACAATGGTTTAAAAGTTTAAACCTGAGTGGTTTAAGTTGTATTTTTTCTAGGTTTAAAAGTGTAAATTTCTAATAATTCCTATATATTTTCCTGCCGTCTAGAAATACGCAGAGAAACCACAATCGAAAATAATTATCAAAATTATAAATATAAACATTGATATCTAATTCATACTTGATCAGACAAAACTGTTGCCATCGTTGCATGAAGGATCCCTTGAAACCATATTTTTATGTATCAAAAAAAGATTCTATATGTATCTATTTATTTTTCTAAATATTTACCATTTTGTTGGTTGGATCTGAGGAACTCTCGTTTAGCAGGATCTGAGATAAAACTGAAATCCTGATACCTAGAATATAGAAATATAAAATACTAGCTTGGGAACCAGGGAATAAAGGCACTTTTTTGGACGTTGGAAAAAACGAAGTAATGCAATTTGTATAGGTGGATCTGTTTCAACCAGTCATGATGTATTTTTTACCCATCTGGAAGCAATCGAAAATTTGATAAATAGAGTTTCCAGGTGTTTCATGGCAAAGCACTGGCTCATATAAATTAATTTTTACAAAATTGTTTGTATATAATAGTTTTTTTTGATATTTTATATTTTGAATTTTGGTTTTTCTCAGATTATATATTCCATATGAAGTATGAAGTAGTTCAGGTATTTTTACACTCTGGATATGAGAAAATTTTAAGAAGAAGTTTTGCTGCCTGATTATTTCAATCCTAAACTTACTAGTTTCTTAATTGAAATTAGAGCTATGATGTATATGTATAGTATTCACCCGTCTACAGACAGATGATGAAAATTATTTCTAGGGTCGACTACGAAAGTAGCTTTTCTTTCACTTATAGTTACTCCAGCCGTTTACCCGCACTTAGTCGTAAATTACAATTTTAGCTATTTTCCCCACTCAACTTAGAATGATAAAACCAAGCTAAGAACATTCCCGTGGCTCTCCCAAGTTCCCAATCAAAATTTGAGGTGTATCGGTCCAGGGGTTTCTGAGTTATGATCGGACAAACAAACAAACAGACAGACAAACAGAGATTACAACTTTTTATATATAGATATAGATGTTATCCCCACTGGAAACTAGGGCTGGTACAGAATAAAATGGTCGTTAGTTTAAGTTAGAATTGAAAAGAAAAGACATCTATGTAGATGTGTAATATTATAAATGAGTGTTTAAATGTTTTGACGTGGAATTAAGAAAACAAGCAAAAAAAAACGTTATGCGATTTTGAAAAGTAATTGTAGAATAAATTTTCTATCAGAGAAAAACTTTTTTCATAAATAAAATTGGTTTCGTAAAAGAAGAGAGATTAGGGTTGACAAACTCTTCTAAGGAATTTATCAAAGGAATTAAGTATTTGCCACAAACTCTGATTTTCTAATCCCTATATCTTGGTAAGCCAATGTCGTAGACCTTAGATATTTAAAATTATGATTCATATTAGATAAAATAATCTAAGTTTAAAATATCAAAAGTTTTCCGCATTAGAGTGCAAAGATATAGAGATTAATGAATTTAAGATTGTGAAAAAAAAACTTAATTTCTTTATTTATTATTGCTTTTTTCTGGAATCATTTATCATAAATTTAAGTTTATAGAACAAGAAACTAATTCTAATGTTAACCAGTCTGACGATGGTTTCTCTGCCCCCCCCACTCCAAAACATTTACTCAAATGCAGAACTTACGCAGTGCAAAAATTAAGAAAGACGAGCTTTGTCCTAATCTTTGCCCTACGGAGCAACTTTGGATATTTTCTATATTGGTTCTTTCATAAATGTTTCCTTTCGAAATAAACAAAACTTTTCTTTACAAAAAAGTGTTGCATAAATATCAAAACTATCCATATTATGTTAAGTGAAAATTTCAAGTTAATATTAGCCATTTTATAATGTCAATATCATTTTGAAGACGACATTCAATTGGAAGATTATCCAATGACATGGGGTTAGCCACATCAGAATTAAGACTTTAGTTATGACTAAATACAGGGTTACCCAAAAAAGATGAAACTCCAGAGACGACTATACGGAATTAATGTCTGTTTCCTTATATCCATAATTCCATGCAACTGTGAACTTGTTTCTCTCTATAGCAAATCATAACATAGTCAGAAAAAAAAATACATTTATGCAATGATGAAGACTTAATCTTGGAACCATCATCTATATGAATAAAGTTGTAATCTCTGTTTGTCTGTCTGTTTGTTTGTTTGTTCGATCATAACTCAGAAACCCCTGGACCGATTTGCCTTACATTCTTAATGGGGAACTCGAGAGAACCACGGGAATGTTCTTAGCTTGATTTTGAGATTCTAAGTTGAGTGGGTCGACTTTGATAGCGAAAATTTAGTTTCCTGGTAAAATGGGATGGGAATAGCTCTGCAGTCTGCACAAGTTTCAAAGCTAGTATTATATATTATTTAAGTCGTTTTTACAGTCTCATCTTTGTGGGTAACCCTGCAATAGTATTTTCTATCACATTTTTGGACAACAGTATAGCACTAAAATTGAAGTATCAACGTTTAACAAATAAATACTTAAATACCTTTAAAGCGTCGTGTTTTTCGAGTTTACAGGGTGGCCAAAACTTTTTTGAACCCATCCGTACAAAAATCCGTACATTTTCAGAAGAAATCCGTACAATCCGTACAATTTTCGAAAAACAATCCGTACAATCCGTACAATTTTTTTTTTAAAAAATNGAGTTTAATCTATGTCTTTTGACATTGACATTTAGAGGGGGGGGGGGAAAGAATAAAAAATATGGAATTATATACACCCCTGTTCGCGTCTATAGAGTTTTAGCTCTGTAAATTTAAGTGTTAGTTTTACTAGCTTTAGGCAAGGTCGACTTTTTTTCTTTCAAAGTGAATATTTTTTGCTAAGTTAGGTTTTCTTCAAAATGAAAAGCCAACGGTAAAATTACAAATTTAAGCGTCAAAATGAGCCCAGTGCTCAGACCCTTTGTCTTTGTCCTGGCCGCAGCACTTGGTCCAGAAATTTTTGTAGTTACCAATTTGTCATTACCAAATTGTCACTTTTGTGAGCTTACCAAATTGTCATTAACAAATTGTCGTTACCAAATTGTCATTACCAAATTGTCATTACCAAATTGACATTACCAAAAATCCGCCCATCGCACAGATATAGGATTTAGAAAATCAGAGTAATTGTGGTAAAAGACTCAATTCCTTTCTTGGATATATTTGGCCATAAATAAACAAAAAAAAGGGGGGCCTTAAGAAATTATAATAGGATTAAATCCAAGATAGAAAAATAGGTCAGAAAAAAATAGATTGAAGACTTTATACCCGTATTCATCTTATGAGATTTTTTTAAATCTTCGCGCTTTCAATTTGTTACCTTTCTAATCCACATTTGCCCAGCTGTATGAGAGACCTGGAGAGTTTAGAAGGTTGTATCCGAACCTGGAGAGCCTGAGAACTAATACTAGCACGAACCTTCTCTGAGGTTGGGTCTGATCTCCTGCTCCTGTCCTTTTGACCACCTGGAGCAGGGATGGAAGGTTTTCTCTTCTCTGATACTGGGACGTGTTCTAGTTCTGTCTCTTTCTAAAATATAAGATTTCTTGATAAAAGTAGAGAAGAAGACATAAAGATCTCCAATAATTTTAAATGACAAAGTGACTCATGGAAGTGCAAGAACAAATCTTATTATTTGAATTACATGTCTTGTTAAACATTATCGTTTGTCAGGTTAAATTTGTTTATCTATATAATCTGCAAATTACTTGCTATAAAATTCACTATTTTGACTGGCAGAGAAAGCATTTTAAATCCAACTTTTTCGGAATTTCTTGAAACAAAAGAATTTATTTTTTGTAACATTTGAACCATGAATCCTAGGAAACTAAGCTGTTCAACAATCCAGCATTATTCTTTTAGTAGTGTGGTAATAAGTTTAGTAAGTCAGGGTTGAAAGGGACTGTAGGCAAACTTAAAAAAAAAACAATTATAATATCAATTCACAACGGTACCTTTGAAAACTATATCTGATGGTAATGTCGCTTCTCTAGATTTCAAATTATTTGATTCTGACGATTACTATATGTTTCTGGTTTGTGTAGTAGAAATGCGAAAGAGAAACCACATATTTGAAAATAATCCGTTTTCAAAATTATTTAAATTGATATCTTATTAACACAGACAAAGCTTTTAAGTATAATGAAGGGAATCTACCATTGCCCTATTTGCAAGGAGGGTTACTTGAAATTGCGAGCTTACAGTCCCTTTAACTTGAAGTGTTCATGATTAAATAACAAGTATTAAACGTAATAAAATTCGCGTTTGGTTGTTTACTCTTTTAATTAGAAATGTAGTTGCATTTTTTAGCTCCCTAGATCCGGATCCGCAAAAATATTATCCAAAACATTGAAACAAATCGTTTCGTTTGCACACCCAACATTTTAGGGGTCAACAATGAGTTGCTTTTAAACCTTTTTAAGAATTGAAAAAATAATCAAGAATATTCATAAAAACAGAAAATTTTGACAATTAGTTTTTGGGAAAAGAAATTAACAAAATTCAGAATCTTGATAGTAGATCTGATATAAACTTACCCTTGTAATGAGGAGCATATCACGTATCTCCTGGAGATCTAGATAATCCTTGTTATTGTTAAGACCCACATTAATCAGCTGAAACAGGTTTCTCGGCATAGTTCTCTTGTCTAGGGGGAGACGGGTTCCTTGAACCACAACCTCGTTATATACTTCTCTAGCGCTCAGATCTCCCCACGGTTTACGGCCTAGACAACCATTTTTTATTTTATAAATGGAACTGTTTACTACGTAATAATACAGTGGAACCCATAACACTTTTAGACTTCAGTTATAACAGTGATTTTAATTTATTTGTACTACAACGTTACCCACTAAGGATGAGACTTCAGGGACGACTGTACAGAATTATACCTTCTTCCTTTATAATCACGATTCTCTGCACGGTGAACTTGCTTCTCTTTGATAAATCATTAAAAGTCATTAAAAGACTTCATTTAACCTTGGGATTCTCATATATTGTGGTTACAGACTGTTTTTACAATCTCATCCTAAGTGGTGAACCATTTAAAGGTTTATAAACATGAACAAATTGTGCTATTTCCATTACAAGTTAAATATTCAAGCTACTAATAAAACCATTTGCTTTATTTTAACATTTTACAATACATTTAAGATTTCTAAAATGTTGTCTCCCCGTTTCCTAAGCAAATTTTAGAGTTTAGATGCAAAAAAACGAAAAATTTCTTTCTTGTAAAACCATTATAATTATCAACTTTAAAAACGGAGATCTTTTCGTTCACCTAACTTTAATACAGGATTATAGAATTTTCATCAACCATCTGTGATCCCACAAAATGTCGACCTTATGTCAACGCAATCAAGTTAATTCCCAGATGATTGTACAGAAGCTGTATATATCCGACTGTGTTGAAGGTTGGGTTCCTGATAGAACATCAGGGCTCAGCCAAGAATAGAAGTTTGTACTTTCCAGAGAGGATAAACTTAGAGCAGGGTCACCACTTCCTTCTCTAAATATCAATCAATCAATCCACATGGAATAGAAGTTTGTACTTTACAGAGAAAATAAACTTAGAGCAGGGTCACCACTTCCTTCTCTAAATATCAATCAAATAATCAACTTATAACTAGTTTAGGGTGGCAACAGCAGCAAGACGATATATCTTGAACTTTTCAATCTTAAAAAGGACTTTTTTCACTACGGTACAATTATCTAATAAAAGGGTATTGTTGTGAATGTTGGCATGTAACTCTTTAAATGAAGGGTTACTTTAAACAATTTTGAGAGTCCCTTTAAAATGACTGTAAGTGTTGTTTCCAGTGACAAAAATGTCAATACCCCAATTTCAACGAAACCCTTTAAACCCTCATCTAATCAAACATGTGAAAAATACAGTTGTTTTCCTCACTCAAAAAGTGGCTAATCATGATAATTTCTCCATTGCTTCTTATAAGCAAGAATTTCGCTTGAATCACTTTCACAGAGAAGCTGCAAATGAAAATAAAAAGTTGAAAGAAACAAAAGTATGAATATCTTATTCATACTTGATTATATAAAGGTTTGAAGAGTACCATTGTGAATCGGGTATTTCTGTCTTTGCAAGGAGGGTCACTTGAAATTAAGCTTACAGGCCCTTTAAACTTTTTTAAGTCTTTTTTTTTTAAAAGTTTTTATCAGAAATACAATAAAAGATAAAAAGGTGAAATGAAAATTTCTTCAATTGTCCCATATTTTACAAGATCAAAGGTAATTAGAGATTTATCATTTGAACAATTATCAAACACAATCGTAAGTTGAATTACAATCGTCAATTTTAGTTAATAGTTAATTTTTAGTAACCATCTCAATCTGCCCGACTAAATTTTTTTTTATTTCGTAACAAAAATATTAGAACAAATTAGAATTAAAATCTTTAAAAAATTTTAATTCAACAACGTTTAAAATTAATAAACATTGTAGACAATAATAAAGATACAGGGTCCCTCTAAAATGATGAGACCTGAAACCCTTCTAACAACTGAAAAAGTCTCATCTTTGAGGGTATTCTTGTATCAAAAATCTTATAACTATAAAAGCTCCTTACTAACAATCATTATAAAATAATTTTTAAACCATCCCCCCAACTGCACTATGAACATACAGATTAAACATCTGGGTTGTACCTGGAAGCATATTCGAAGCGCGCAAGTTTGGCTAGGAATGGGCTGACCAACTGCACGGCATGGCTGCTGAGCGCGCAATGAATATATCCACGAGAATGTATGAAGATAAGCGCATCTGTTATCTAAAATAATGTTTACTAAGAATTTTAAAAACTAGAAATTTTTGGAGAAATACAAAAAAGAAATATGGGTAACAAAATTTCAGGTCTCTTTTTAAATTTCATCGGAAATACAGAAAAGCAAAGAACTAGTACTGTACTGTACTGTACTGTACTGTACTGTACTGTACTGTACTGTACTGTACTGTACTGTACTGTACTGTACTGTACTGTACTGAAATAATAGGAGAGGATTACCTGAAGAAGAATATCCACACAAACGATCAGAGTTGGAACCTTTTTCTAAAAAATAATATTTTTAAATAAAATCTTTTAAAATCTTAAACTATAAAAAATACTCTTGATGTATTTAAAATAAGGTTAATGAACAAAAGCATATTATGACTCATCCTGACTGATACCCTCAGAAATCTTTCTAAATGATTTCTTTACAGGAGGGTCAGAAAAAATACAGGAGAAGAAATTTGACAAAACATGACTAAGGAATTAAGCTGAAGAAACCAACTTACTGGCCGCCTAGTTCTTAGATAACTAGATGAAAGTTTTCTATCTTTAACTCTAGTATGACCTTGCAGTTTACATGATATAAAACAATCTAGATTCCGTTCCCATCCAAGCTATTTATCATCCGGACTAAGATTCATCGAAACCATAGTTTTAATGACAAATAGGAAACCCCATTCTAAAAGATTGTCAGACAGTCTGTCTTGTATTGTGGTTATCAAGATCAATGCCTGATCTGGATTTTTTAATAATCTGCAGATTATTTTGATATTTATTCAATATCCCGAATGGTAATCGTTCCCATTCAGGGGTTGAAGGGAGCTTTGATCAAGGAAAAATACAATGAAGGTTTTGAAAGTTATTGTTTTTATAGATCCTCAAATTAAAAGTGCACACAGTGGATTTAGAGTTGAAGCGCTCTGGATTATGAGTATTCAACACAAAAGTTACCAGCTCATAATTAACAAAAGTTACCAGCTCATAATTAACAAAAGTTACCAGCTCTTGCTAGGGTCCACTGTTTTTGTGTTAAAATATTTTTTCGTAAACTTAAATGTCTCCTTTATCATGTTACGATTTATAAATGTCCTAATGTTATACCATTTATATGTCAAATATCCTAAGATTCAAAAGATAAAAGGAAATACATCATGTTTTAAACATTTTATATTTGATTATTGACTTTAGGGATCAAAAAAGTCTAAAAAAAATATCTTGCGACTTAATCTTTAGATTTTTTAAAAATCCACTAGAAAATATGACAGCTTTCTCTTATTTATTGTTTTAGATAACGATCACACATAAAACGTTAGTTCAGAATACACTTTCCCGATGAGATCTTAGTCCGGATGAAATATTTTTAGTTCGGATGAACATCTCAGAACTCTTCAGGGGAGTTCTACTTCAAATTCAAGAAATGACAAAGAAGTCATAATTAACGATTTTAGTGGATACTTCAATTCATTTTAAATATAATTATTAAAAATAATTTTAAATATTGATTTCAAGATCTGTTGTAGCTCAAGGTTATGAATTAAACTGGATGGAGGTTACACTTGAACAGCTCCGGGTTCAGCTCTGTGTATGGTTGCTATAGGGGACGGACGGAGAGAGAGAAAGGGAAGCTAAGAGAAAGAAAGAATAATGACTCATCGTAATCAAATTATGTCAAAAACTAAGGAACTTTAAATGCGATATTATCGTGCTCAAAAATAAAAGTATTGCAAAAGTAATTTTTTTTTACAGTTTGAAGAAAAGCTTGAAAATTGAAAACTAATACGAAATCCAAATTAGTTTAGTTATACCTGTCCCTGCTAGGGTGCTTGAAAACCAGGATACGCTGGGGGGGGGGGACAAATTTACCCCCCCCCCCTCTAAATCCCATGTTAGAGGAATTTTTAAAGATAAAATATATCTATATAATAAAGCTCTTCGCTCATATATATACATATTTGTATGTATATATATTTATGTCAGCTTTAGCTGGCCAAACGGCTGGACCGAATGGGCTGACATTTTTTTAGGGAACCCATGGGTAGCCTGGGGGTAACATAAATAAATATCTTTTTCATCAGGATGCGATTTATTGAAACAATTGCATTTCAAAAATGCATGTTTTCAAAAATTATTTTACGGAAGTTTAATTTTGAATAGCCTTTAGTTCAGCATATTTTCAGTAATCCAGGGATTTATAATATTTCTAAAAAAAAACAAGAAAAGAAGTTGAAACTTCTGTTTAAAGGAGCAGAACATGCGAATCCACGAAGCGGTAAATATGTTCCTAATATTTCCTCCAGGTTTTAGATAACCGTATAATTGACCAACAACCCCCCTCTTAGATTACAAATCAAGAAACAGGGCTTACCGCAGAAAGCTGTTTTAAGGGGTTTAACACATATTTTTTACATTACTAAAAAACAAATTTAAAATTACAATTTTCGCCTTTTGATAAATATTACTGATTCCACAAATTTACTTTATTAGTGGCATGTTAAGAGGCTTATTTGTCCCTCGACCCGCTAGGCCTGCAAAACATCCCTTTATGAATTATAAATCGGGCAAAATTATTTTGTAAATAATTATGTATATGTTAACAAAGAAGATGTGCTCATACAGTGAAGTACAGATAAAAACGAATATTCTCTGATGAATCAAAACTCGTAAAAAAAGTTAAGAAAAACAAATTTTTCAAACAAAAAAACAACTTGTTCTTAACATAGAACATACCTTCTCTATCAAAAAAGATCAGGTCCAAGAAAATATAAAAAAAATCTTTAAAATTTCTGTTTAACAGTAATTTTGACCAGGTGTCTTAGCTATGAAAGGCTTGAAAAAAGTAAAAGGTATATCAAAAATAATGGTCTGACAGTTTGTTTTTATTACGCCATGCAAAATGTTAACAAGATAGATACATGACAGATGTAAGACAGATATAAGCCTGCAGGAAGTACCATTAGAGCACGGACGTGATAAACGTGATATGCTCAAGTCTGATTGGACTTAATGCTGCAGAACTCACGCTAGTGCATTGAGGGAACCCAATTGGATGGTTAAATCTACCTGAAGGTGTATCCTAATGTGAAGGGAACCTAGCTGATGGTTATATCTACCTGAAGGTTTATCCTGGTGTGAAGGGAACCCAGCTGATGGTTAAATCAACCTGAAGGTGTATCCTAGTGTGAAGGGAACCCAGCTGATGGTTAAATCTACCTCAAGGTGTTTCCTAGTGTGAAGGGAACCCAGCTGATGGTTATATCTACCTGAAGGTTTATCCTGGTGAAGGGAACCCAGCTGATGGTTTAATCAACCTGAAGGTGTATCCTAATGTGAAGGGAACCTAGCTGATGGTTATATCTACCTGAAGGTGTATCCTAATGTGAAGGGAACCTAGCTGATGGTTATATATACCTGAAGGTGTATCCTAGTGTGAAGGGAACCTAGCTGATGGTTATACCTGTGGTTTCAAAAACATCTGAAGCCGACATCTGGTTAAGCAGTTATGACCACCTGACGGATGTAGGAGGACAGAGGGGCGGCTGTCAACAACTCTCGCAGCGAAAAGGTGCGTGCTTTCTACTCAACAAGAAAGAAGCTTCAAGTGGGATTGATCCAAGTGAATGACGATGAAGAGAGGAATGGTGGACAAGCAGGGAGAGTCTATGGTTGCCAGCTATAGGTACCTGGGGGTATCCAATCCGGGCTTACAGATGTTAGGGAGCAATGAGTGTGATGTTTCCTATCAGTACGGCACCCGGGCCTCATTCCAGTATATCAGAAGGATTCCTGCACTCTATATTCTCAGGCCTAAGAAGAATCTTAGGCAGCTGGAATCTTGTCAACCCTCTTCTCAGAATGAATGAAGCGTGGATGGATGAATGTGCTGCCAGATTACAACCCCTGGTAGATCAATATAAAAACCCAGACAACACCAAACTTTCGCAATAGAAAAAATTCCGAGATTTGATCGTAACAACCCGATCATGTCCTGGGGACAAAAAAATCTCTTTTAAAAAGTTATATCTACCTGAAGGTTTATCCTGGTGTGAAGAGAACCCAGCTGATGGTTAAATCAACCTGAAGATGTATCCTAGTGTGAAGGGAACCCAGCAGATGGTTAAATCTACCTGAAGGTGTTTCCTAGTGTGAAGGGAACCCAGCTGATGGTTATATCTACCTGAAGGTTTATCCTGGTGTGAAGGGAACCCAGCTGATGGTTAAATCTACCTGAAGGTGTATCCTAATTACAGGAGTAAGGATGGATTACAGGAGTAAGGATGGATTACAGGAGTAAGGATGGATTATAGGAGTAAGGATGGATTACAGGATTAAGGATGAATTACAGGATTAAGGATGGATTACGGAAGTGAGAACGCGGGTAACATGAGCATTGAGCAAGGGTATTTTAAACTATAAGATCTGTTGGAAAAAATGATCTAAGTTTAAAATATCAAATGAATACACCATTAGGTTGTAAAGATATTGGAATTAGAAACTTTTAGTTTGTGGCAAAGACTAAATAATATTAACCTCTAGTTCTCTGTTCTGAAGGGCCTCCTTGTCTCCAGAATATCTTCTTACTCTTACTCTTGTATTTCCCCAAACCTTAAAATAAGTTTTTTTTTACAACAATAATTATTTTCCATGTAATTACTTCTCAAAATTTCTAGTAAAACTCAAACGCGTATTTCAAACCTCATGACATTAATATCTATACACAGGAAAAATCATATTTTACTAAATAAAAAGATTAAAGCAATTATTGCGTTGCTAATTTGAAAATCTTATTTTAACATTCTTCAAAACTATTTCAGTTCAGTCCTAGAGATATATTTTGGACCCCCCCCCCCCCNGGTGGGGAGCCGGGGGGGGCAATAATCGTTGTATCCTACCTTGCTGACCATAGAAGAATATTGTCCGAGGTTGTAGGACGGATAATGAGGATCAGGATGAAGATCAGCTCTTGGTATCTCGTAGAATATATGGCCAGGACGTCCGGACATTTTCAATCTTTCCTAACAAACAAAAAATGAAAGTAATCGAAAATTAACTTTAAAACGCAGGTTCCTTGTAAACAATTATGCAAAAAATGTTGACAAATTAATCTAGGTGTTTTATTTGCTGATTTGAAGGGTATGAAGTATCAAAAAGGATAAACATATTGATGTCCGAGAAAAACTGCGGGATTACAGGAAAAATTTCGCGCAATATTTTTAAATTATTCCAAATATTAATAATCCGAAAAACGATGTCAAGAGGAACATAAAAATGAATTGAACGAGGAAGCTGAGGAAACGGCGGATTTGAATAAGTCACTGTCAGTTAGACGGGTGCCCAGTAGTGCCCAGTTCTCCCAGTGGTCATTTAGTTTACTTTTGTCACTTTTGTGTACTCTTCGTCGTAGTCAATTACTCAGGGTGACCAACCAGATTGAAATATCCCCTAACAAGAAGAAAAATCCTCTTTATCCCCTGAAAAAATTGAAAATTCCCCAAATTTGGACCAATTTTTAAGACAAAGTTCTGCAATATTGAAACAATAATTACCACAGGTCAAAAATAGGGATAACTGAAATTCATTGATTTTTAGAAAATTTCAAAGCTTTTATATCTGTTAAGAATAAAAAGAAATTGATTGAAATTGTGAAAATTTCATAGTTTCTGAGCTGTGTACTAGTAAACTTAGTCAAGTGAACTATGAAAAGACTGAAAGGATGATTATACTCGCTCTCTAAAAATAGTTAAGTAAAAATCGAGTATAAAGTCCTTTAAAATACTGACATGGAAATTTTGAAAATCCCGAAAAAATCCCACATTCCCAAAGACTTTCAAAATCCCCGAATGTGCACTTGTAGGGGATAAAATCCCCAAGGTTGGTCAGCCTGAATCGTCCTCCGTGAACTTTTAAACAAATAGATCTTCCAAAACCGGTTTTTTTCAAATTTAAATTTTCCCGCCATTTTCAGGTTGAGTATAAGAATTTAATACTTTAAGTATGAGGGAGAAGGGGAAGAGCGAGAAAAATTATCCATAATCATTATCATATTATTGCATAGATATATCACATTATGCATAGACGTCTACAAAGTGGGGGGGGTCTCTGGGGCTAAAACACCTGATAAGCATGGAAAGCAAGGAAGCGTGACCTCTGCTTCTCTACCATGTATTGTATTATATATAATACGTAAGAAGTGCAGGTACAGAACTGAGCAGTGGAAATATAGTTTAGAATTTCGTAATTGGTCTGGTCAGACATCATTCCACATTTTACTATAGTTCTGCTGCAAGCTGTGAAGAGTGTTTTGTTGGAAATATTAAATACTAAAATATAATTTTCAGTATAGTACAGTTCTTATTGTAAAATTTACTATAGTTCTGCTGCAAGCTGTGAAGAGTGTTTTGTTGGAAATATTAATTATACTAAAATATAATTTTCAGTATAGTACAGTTCTTATTGTAAAATATGATTTTCAGTATAGTACAGTTCTTATTGTAAAATTTACTATAGTTCTGCTGCAAGCTGTGAAGAGTGTTTTGTTGGAAATATTAAATACTAAAATATGATTTTCTGTATAGTACAGTTCTTATTGTAAAATTTGTCCATCGAGGTCAGATGTGTGTAGAGTATCGTTATTGTTGATATCCAATATTTGCACTTTTAGATTTGAGTTCAATCTATTTCAAATATCCCTGCAGGATATAACCTTGATCACGATAAATTAACAATACAAAAGCTATGTCTGTTAATTCATAAGAGGAAAATATATATAACCAACTTTATAACAATAATGATTTTACTATCAATAATCCTGAAGTATATACCACACATCATCACCTAAATAATTTTACCATGTATTAAAACAGCCAGATGGGCCTGCAGAGCCCTCCTTTGAAATGTCCAAAATGGTGAGGACCCCCAGGAAAATTCCTGTAAAAGGCCCTAAAATAGCTTTAGCATAGAACTTTCTTTTTATTTTTAAAAATCGAATTAAAACAGAAAACTTATAATTTATTTAGCTTATGTCATCCCTAAGGGTACCCATGAGTGTTTTTTACTAAAATTCAGCCCATTTGATTCAGCCTTTTGGGCTTAGGCCAGCCATAGCAATTAGCAAACATATAAATTAACGAAGAGCTTTATGACTTAGATTACAATTGTAAACCTGCTTTTTTTAAAACAGAAACTTTTACAAGTCATTATTATTTTCTGGGCCTTTGTCCTTTTTCATCTCATAGAATTTAAGTTTTAAGTCAGGTTTTAACAGCATAATAAAGTCGATTTTTTATAATCAATGTTTTTTTCTGCTAGTTTTATTTGAAGGAGAGATAAAGTATAGTACATGCAAGGTAATATGACTGTACATGTGTACCTTTAAAGTATCTTATACTTATGCCTGATATCCATGAAGCCAAATGTTTTGAATTTACAGTTCAAATTTTGCCCCCCCCCCCCCCCTAGAAGCTTGATCTTATAAATAACTTTTCATCGTGAATGATTAATTCCAAAATATTAATATGTATTATATATAAATTATTGATTATTGATTTCTAGCATACCTTTAAGTATGAATAATATTGCATATAATTAATAAAATCAATATATAGAAAGGCAATTAGATGCAAATGATTTATAAACAAAATGATAATAATTAATTTAATGAATTATATAATACTTTTTAATTGCAAGTTTAAAAAAAGTTAGGTGTAAAACTACTAATTCATGGTCACTAGCTCAGCATTTATAGTTTTGCAAACTGAAATATAAATATGATACAGTGGAGACAAGTGAGAAAACTGACAGAATTTACTTAATTTAAAAAGATACAAAAACGACGATATCTCCTTGAAAGTTAACCAGTTAAAATTTGAAAAGTTTCCATTGTGAATCTTATATAGAGCTATTTTACGATGAAGGGTCACTTATTCATATTTCATATTCTTATTCAACAACAAAGCACGAGATGATAAAAATAAAAAATCACAATTTACTATGTAGCTTGGATCCGCCAAACCAGAGTTGGTTGTTTTAATTGGTTGGCCCATTATAAGCGAATAAGAATTGCAAATTACAGTGTACATTTTAAACAAAACAATGATGATAAGTCATGAACAAGGTAAGGAGGGGATGAAAAAGGAGGGAAAGGGTGGGTACTCAGCGGAAGGGTTGTAACAGAGGGTAACATACATTATTATTAGAATCATGTTTATGAACTATGAATTGAATTACAGGGTGAAGAAAATAGCAAAGACTAAGTTTATCCACATGAAAAACAGTTATGTTTATTTTTAACGAAACAAAAAATTTTAATGGAAATATTTGAAATTTTCTATAATTATGCCTAACTGTCATAAGAAAATTTAACAAAAGAATTGGGTCTTTGCCACAAACTCAAAATTTTCTAATCCCTATATCTTTCAAACCTGGTTTAATCCATAAAACAATTTAATTTAGATTATTTGATCTAACAGAATTTCTAGTTAGAAATACCTAAGGTCTATAATATATACAGTTTACACAGCATTGAGTCTAATTTCCAGGGATTTTCTAATTCCTTTATGGATTAGAAAATTTGAGCATATGTGGCAAAGACTCAAAATTAATTAATTTCTTCTCAAATTCTGGGATGCGAAAAAACGAAAGTAAACAATCAGCGTGTGAAAACCTGCAGATGAAATTTCCTTCGAGCCCCATTTTCTTCATGAAAAAGGCACTGTGAAGAACAAAATATACAATATTATTAAAACTTTTAATATTTAATTATGAGGTTTCTGCAGTTAAGGTTTAATTGTTTTCGTACATGAAATAACAAGGCATAATTAGGTCAACTATTCAAATAAAATATGAATTAATCTAAGAAATCAAGGCGCTCCCTGCCTCTTATTTTTAGCAATAATCTTATACAGTCAGGCGCGTACACATTTTCTTGGCGCTTTCTGCCATTTATTTTCAAATCTTACCTTAGTATTTCCCACTTATTTAAATCCCCCCCACCCCTAACCCTACTTGTTGAACAAGTATAGCTTTATACATTATGCAAGTTTTGGCATGTCTTCCCGCAACCCCCATGAAGGTCAGGGGGAAATTACATTAGGAGTGGATTAAGGGAAAATAAAGAGGATATACAGAGGAATACATTATAATACATAGTCCTTGAATTAGGACTACAGTGGACTACAGGTGACTACTCAGGACTTCAGAGAATAAAAGAGAACTATACAGAGGGATACATTATAATATATAGCCCTTGAATTTGGACTATAGTGGACTACAAAGGGGAGTAATCTCAGGTGACTACTCAGGACTTCAGAAAATAATAGAGAACTATACAGAGGGATACATTATAACATATAGTCATTGAATTTGGACTACAGTGGACTACAAAGAGGAGTAATCTCAGGTGACTACTCAGGACTTCAGAAAATAATAGAGAACTATACAGAGGGATACATTATAATATATTGTCCTTGAATCGGGACAACAGTGGACTACAAAGGGAAGTAATCTCAGGAGACTACTGAGGACTTTAGAGAGTAAACACGTACAGAACTATACAGAGGGATACATTATAATATATTGTCCTTGAATCGGGACTACAGTGGACTACAAAGGGAAGTAATCTCAGGAGACTACTGAGGACTTTAGAGAGTAAATACGTACAGAACTATACAGAGGCTTGGGACTACAATGGGCTTAGAATAACAGCACTTTTAAGACCGGGGGGGGGGGCAAAAATCGCCCAGGGGTGGCCAAAAAATGTCCACATCTCTGGCTAAAATACTTATCAATCAATCAGCTCTTACATGGTTATGAAAACTATTTATCAACCTTTTTGACCTCGTAGAACCTATCTCTATAGTTTTCATTTCACATCTTATAGAGTGAAACGACAATCTTGTTTGTAACAATACAAGAACTTTAGAATTTGAAAAATGTTTTTTTTTCCAAGGCTTAAAAAAATATTAAACTAAAATAAGCAACCTTTTGCTGTTCCCCTTTTTACACTTGTACGTGTAACAAAAAATAAACAATTTACATGATCAAAGGCTTTAAAGCTGCAAAGACTGTGTTTCTATTCCTCAGTTTACTAAAAAATTATGATAAGAAATGTCATATAAACTTACCAGATGAAAAAATTAGTTCAGCTTCAACATTTTTTGGTTGTATTCAAAATATTTAAACCTGAAAAGAATTCTTTTTCCTGTATACGGTTTCAAAGCTATATAAAAAAGACCATAACTTAAATTTGGTAGGACTATAGGGATATTTTTCAAAAACTTTAATTCTGAACATAAAAAAAAAGTAATTCAAATATCTATCATTCGTCTCTCATGTGACATTTTTTAAATTTTTACATCACTCTGAAAGTTAGACACTTTCTGATTATATAAAATATAGTAAAGCTTCATTTCTAGATAAAAATTCAATATTTAAAAAAACTAGATTTGTTGCACTCATGTTTCGTGGGTTAACCAATTTATGTAATGTAAATTTTGGGAACTATGGAAATAATTCCTTCTAAATATGATCAAATTTGATTGCACAATGTTGCAGGTGCTTCCTTCCTTTTTATATATAAATCATATATTTCTCTTTACACTGCAATACCATTACACCGGAACCAGCGACTACAGGGTGTCCCAATAAACATGGAAATAAAGTGACTTTTAAATAGTCTTCGATCCATGGAAAATTAATTTATAAATCTAATAACGCTAAAACACACTTTATAAAATTGTTGGCTGCCTGCTTTGAACCTTTGATCAGGATATTGAGAATCTTGTCCCAGAATTATCTATTCTATGAAAAAAAACACAATTTAAAATAAAGGATGTCTCGCTAAACAAGGCAATTGAGAAGACTTTGATCTTGATCTTTGACATTTATTTGAGAACAAAATCTACTGAGAAGTCATGAATCAATCATTTATTGACACACACTTTGGACTTCAGATAGCTATGATGAATCGAGAACAACATTCAAATCGTCTCCCGACTGTCATGTTTAGTGGGACACCCTGTATCTCATACAATCTTATCTTTTTAACCAATTTTTCCTCATTTCATATTTTTTTTAAAGAAGAGATTTCAATTCCGTCGCTCAATTCTCATTTTTATTGAAACACCGGGCCTGATAGGATAAAAATCCGACGTAAATTAGATAAGTCTATTCCTACTTTAATTAAACAGTAATCATCATCGTTTTTTCATTACAGCCAAAATTGGTATATAATTAGAATCATGGTTTTTAATTGGTATAATACCATCATCAATTAAATATAAATATGCTAAATACATGCTTTACATGCTTTACCATTTTTTAAAATTTATTTACTTTTCAACCTACAGGGTTACCCACAAGAAGATAAGACCCTCATGACAACCTTAAACTTTTTAAGTCTTTAGTCTAAATGTTAAGAATCAGTTTCATCCTTTGTGGGTATAAATACGGTCTAATACACTTTATTGGTTTTTATTGATTCTTTTAAGCTTGGGTGGGTTTCACTTAAAACAAATTTAAGATTTCAAAAACTTTGTAAAAGTTAAAATTTCTTACGAATGACGTATCAGAACTATGTTTTATTCTAAAGCCATTATTTCTCATTGGATTTACAAATTCTTTTTTATCATTTGATATTTATTTTGGATACATTTAAGAAAACTGTTTTATATTAACTTTATTATGATAAGACACAGAAAGAATAAAAGTGTTGAATTTCTTCATCTCAATATTGATTATTGGTTAGCAACTTAGCTTCCTTAACAATCAATCAATCATTCATCTTTATACAATACATCATTATACACTATGCAGTACATGGAGATAGTGGGACAGATAAACAAAGAATATCGGGTGTGCAGAGAATTTTATCAATGTTTTAGACGATAAATGGTTTGTGAAATTCTATCAAAGTATTCGAGATTCTATCAATGATTTATATGATTCTTTTTTTTACAAGATTGTATCCAAGTTTACGAGAATTCTATCAATGTTTTATGTGATTTTATCCAAAGTTTTTAATGCTCTATCATTGTTTTCTAACAGAAAAAAAATATTACTTGCCGCTCTACCTTATATTTATCGTGCTTAGACTTTGACTTCCTCCCGGGAGCTGGATGCTTCCAGGGTTTCCTCTTGTCTCCGGGTATACAGGGTTTCCCTTCTCCGTCCTTCCCAGTGGTTTCCCCACCCTGGAGAGAGAGGTTCCTGAAACAAAAACCATGTTCATAACAGGAAAAAATGTTAATATATAATTGTACTTTATTTAAGGAACAAAGTGAAGACAAAGAGTGTAAATACATTATACAACAAACATAAAAAGATATTAAACTATTTTCGAACAAAAACAGGCAAAGGGTCATCAATTTTTTAACCAAAATTTATTTTATTTTAAGTATTTTAAGTTTAATTTGTGCAATTTAGAATAAGTAAACAATACAATATGATTGACGTTGAATTTGTTTACATTTTGCAAGGAAGGAATGTTGACAGTGCAGTACACACAAATCTTTAAAAAGCTGGATGCTACAGTGAGACCCGTTAAACTGTGGAATAGAAAGACGACTGTAAAGTTATGGTTTTAAATAGTTCAAATGACATAAAACACACCAATTGTGCAGTGTACATATAATCCATTTCACTAAAAGAGTTGATTTTAAAGCTTCAAAAAACTATTTGAAAACATATAAAATATTTAATAAAATGTCGTCATCACATTTAACAGTTTTATGGGTCCAACTGTGTTGTTTATCTATTCCTTAACAATAATTGAATATTTTTATACATTTATATACATTTGTATATATATACACTTATATATTGAATATATTTCTTTGTTTTTTTAACGAGCGGATCTTTTTTTAACAAAGTGATAATTTTGATCTAGATTCTAGATATACGCAGAAATTATAAAAAACTTAATAAGGCTAATAGAAATAATAATGGTTGATTTTTAGCGTATTATGTGCGTATTTTGGCGTTAAAGATTTTAGATAATCTAATATGATATGGAAGCTCTATGCATTAATAATTTTAAAAAGTATTAAGTTTGAAAAGAGACCTAATTAAAAGATTAAAATCTAAAAATTCCTTGAATCATTTTACCCTGAGAACCCCCTTTATACTTTCAATTTCTTTCATTCACTTTCAAACCTGGCTTTTGTGTTCCAAAAATGCTTCAAATAGATATGAATGATTAATTGAAAAGATTACAAGTTAGATTATTTCAGTTATTTCATCAAAAGTCAATGACTCTTGTAAATAATGTTTTTAATTAAACTATGTTACTCGACCTACTCATACAATCTAATTTAAATTTTAGAAATATTTTTGAGTTATTTCGACTCTGATTTTCTAATCCCAATATCTTCACACTCAGGTTGACCAAACGTAGGGATTAGAAAATTAGAGTTGGTGGCAAGAACTCAGTTCCTTAGTCATTCAATCGAACAAATTCAATTTAAATGAAAGTCTTTTTTCTCTCGCATAATTAGATTTTAAAATGTTTTTATTTTCATATTTGACCTTTTCACAGAAAATTTTAAACCTTTCTTTTAAAATTACTGAATGAAATTAGGAAATATTCACAGTTTGAAGTATGAAAGGTCTACACCATCCGGTTGCAAAAATATGTATAAACACGAGGGGAGTTCTTATAAACCATAGAATATCTGATACAGTGGATCTTATATCAATACAATGAAGACGACTTTTCAATATAATTTTTAAAATTCTAACAAGCTTTTTTAAAGTTACAAGTTTACTTGTAAACAAAGACCAGCTGTTAATTGGCAGTTTCTCTTTGTTTCCATGCTTATATGATACTGTCTGAATAGCCTGGTAGAAATCAAAATTAAAATCGAATGTCGTCTTCATTGTATTGATATCTACTACGACGACTGTTTATATTCTTTTCATGTTTACTCGAGTAACTTGAGTTTGACACAGTCAACACTTGAGAGTAATAAATTCTTATTACATAATATAAGCTGAAAGATAACTAACGTTCCATGAACTAATTGGTTTAACACAAATTTAATTAATATTGGTACTAATTATTTCCTGTAACCCTGATAAACATTGATCCCCTCTCACTTCCCCGGAGGGAGGGGGGGGG